AATGTAGAAATTATGATTAGTTAATATTTTATCTTCATGAAAAAAACTTACGTTTTTACTTGTCCGTCGTGAGAATCGAACCCGGGTCTCCCGCGCGAGGAGCGAATGGCCTACATACTGGGCCATTGTAGCACTTAAATTTGATGTGGCAAACCGAGCATTGTATGTAAAGGGTCAAGCGGAGAATACATTTGAATACTAATTGCATAATTTTGACCATTCGCGTTTTACTTATTTACATACCTATATACATATGTATATATTTATGCTAACGCAATTTATATTATGTGTAGTATATAGTAAATAGCTAAATATAAACCAAATTATTTTCGGTTTACCGCTTGCCATCAATAAAAAAAGGAATAAAAAAAAGAGTAAAAAAACAAATTTAAAAAAAAAACAATAAAAAAAATAAAAAATAAAACTAAAAAAAAAACTTTAAAAAAAAAGGTAAAAAATTGTTTGCTCTGGGACTCGAACCAGGGTCGTTTCGATTTCTAACCAAGCGCTTTAACCGTCTGCGCTACGAGTACAGCCGCCCGGCAGCTGACAAGTTCTGGCATTGAACATTTTGGTGTGCCAGAGCATGTGAAAACAACTATTTCTATTTTTTAGAAAAACTTCCTACTTTTTAGGAAATGTTTCTATTATTTAGGGTTAGCTTAATTTTAGGGTTAGGGCACTCATTTTTAGAAATGGTGCTGACAAAATATTTTATTATTTTCGTTTGCCTTTCTATTTTTCAGAAAATAATTTCTAATTTTAAGGGCATTTTTTCTAGATTTTAGGGTGATTTTAGTTCATGGTAACCATTTTCTACATTTAAGAAAAACTTCCTGGATTTAAGGAAAACTTTCTTGACTTAAGAAAAATTTCCTTAGATTTAGAAATAACTCTCTTGTATTTAGAAAAAAGAAATTTTAATGGCGATTTTCTAAAATTTAGGGTTAAATTTATTTTGAGTGTAGGCCTTAAAACTGGAATATATTTTTAAGATCCAGAATAATGCCTCCTACGTGAGCAAATAATTATGAATGCTAAATCAAGTTGAAGCTGTCGCACTTATTAATCTAATAAACAACTTAACAATAAGATAAAATCAATTTTAATTATTTTTGTAGTGCCTAATTTGGTTAGATAATATCTTGATGACAGAATCTAAATGAATTATATGGATATTCAAAATTTAAATTCCTTCTCTTTCACTTTGATATCGTTTAGTTATTTAAATAAATTAAAGTATTGGTTACTTACCTCCAGATACTCCCCCTTGGTGACCTTCAGTTCCTTGTCGTTGGTGGCCGACTTATTGAAGGTAACCTCGGCGATCTTGACGTTGCGGCTCTCCAGTCGGCTCAACCAGGTGCGATTGCCGAGTCCGGGACTCGGAGGCACAGGAGCGAGTACTGGCGAAGGCGTCGTGGTCTTCTTTAGTGCAGGAGCCAAATACGGCACCTCCTCATCCACCACCCAATCGGGCGACCAATCGTCGTAGAAGATCGGATGATACGAGCTCTTGTGGTCCTTGAACTGATCCTTGGGAACCGTCCAGTTGGGACCGAGGCTCTGCCACAACTGCTTCTCGTTGGAGTCGAGCGATCCGTTCAGGAAGGCGATGGTCTCGCGACGCAGGAGAGGATTGACCACAGCCTCCGGCAGACCCGCATCCACATAGATATCATTGCAAACGGTGACGATGGATTGCAGCGATATGAAGACATTGTGCACCGGATCGGTGGATTTGCTGAAGTGGTTCTGCAGCTTAACAGAGTAGATGAGGGCCAGTTTAACCTTGGCCAGAATGTCATGAAACTCGCTCTCGATCGGGGGTCGTGATCTCAGGACCAGGAGTCCCTCCCCATGAGGATTGTGCTGCTCCTTGCGCAACTTTAGCTCGTTGAGGGCCTCGGCGGCATAATGAAGTCGTGCCATGAATCTCTCGATGTCCTCGAAACAGTGGTTGATCACCTGTACATCCCTCTCCGTCTGCTCCTTGTCCTGGGCGTTCTTCTCTGCCGCGATCCCTGCCACGGCAGCAGCTATTCCATACTGATCCTTGGCCTGCTGATTATGCGGTCTGTCCGGTTTGGGCAGCAGAATGGGCGTCTTGTTGCGATCAATCGTTACGGGAGTGCCCTTGCTTAGCTACAAGGAGTTATTGGATTAATAAATAAATTGGATTAATAAGCTAACAAACTCACCGTCTTCAGATCCTCTACCAAATGCACTGAACTCACATCGGTCACCTAAAAAAAATCTAATTAAAAACAGGATTCTTTGCTAAGAAAAACTTAATAACTCACCTGGAAAATGTGCATCTCGGTGTTGCCCAGCGAGATTCCCGGTACTGAGAAGACCAGGATATTATTGTAAGCCTCCTGGGGATGCTCACTGATGAAGGCCGTGGGCTCTGTGATCAGGCTGCCCGGAAAATTCTCAATCTCCTTCATCTCACTGTCCAGCATAACGAGCCACTGGCCATTGAAGCTCATGAACATCTTGTGCGGCCAAATGCCTCCAGTTTTGTCCAGTTCGATCAGCAGCTTCATCTTCTCCTTGGGCTGCTTGATCTCGGCCTCGGTCTTCAGCTTGAAGGTGGCCAAGTGCTCCAGGGCGTAGGTGGGTTTGATCTCGTCGTAGTGCCCATTTGCCTGATCGCCGGCAGGGACTCCATTTTCGTAGCCGTTACGTGGCATCCTGGGATACATGAAAAAGGGCATTCCAAATTTATCAAACATTTATCTATCGTTCTTATCATAGAGTGTTGTGCTTTCAAGTTCAATAATCAGTAGGCAAATAAATAGTAAACTGCGCAATTTTACACTCTTCTCTTTTCTATTTGTTCTATATTGTTCGATTTGTTTTGATGATAACGCTACATAGTATCTAATGCATGAAAAAGGGCAATTGTCAATAAGCCAATTCCGTGTCTACAATTCCAAAGTCCAGTAATCAGAAAAATATGGGGAAAGCCCCAATTGTTCGGGAAATCTAGGAATTATAACTTATAACATTTAAAAAATCTACTTTTTTTACAGATAAACACTTTTAATAATCCAAAAAATAAGATTGACAACTACAGACAATCTTGGCGCCGATCTGTGACAGTTTCCTGTCTATCGTTAGTTAGATAGTAGGATATTTACCCATACTTGACCGATATGGGTCGAAAGTATTTCAAGGTCCTATTGCCTGCTTTGACCATTACTCCGTCGATGTGGAATCAAAGCGTGCTGGGAAACTATTGATTCCGAGTGGGCAATGGGAAATAGATAGACACTATAGATACCTTTACATGCAGACACACAATAGTACATAGAAGAGTACCCTTTTTCACCTGTGTGGTAGCTACCTGCCCGATAAGATAAACGCAATTAGTTTGCGATTGCCTTTGCTTTTTGCTTTACGTTTTTCACTTTTGCAGTTATCACAAAGCCAGGAAATTCTTGGCACATGAAGCAATCATTAATGAAAGCTTATTACATAAAACTTCGAATAAAATAGTTAATCGTGTATTTTTAGGCCATGATTTCTGTTCAATTATTTACCGCCATCGGCTGGCCGGCAGTTGTGATTTGAGATTTATTTGCCGTTTTCACTGGCATGACATCAGAGATCCTAAGATACCGATGTCAGCGCCATAATATTGGTATCTTGATTTACAGGCTCAGATGGACCGATGGGTTACCTTGTTCTTCCCACTGTGCTCTTTATTTATTTATTTGCTCTTTTTTCCTTTTGGCCCGAACTCGCACTCTCGACCCGCTGCGAATCGAATTCCAACTCCAACTAACTGACGTTAGCGGTCCCAAGAGGAATCGGCGATATCAGCTGGCTCCTCGCTCATTAATTGATTGCCTGAAATTCATAGATATCGCAAAAGCAAAAGTGTGGCCTAATCTTATCTCTCGGTGCCAGTGTCGCGATTGTGCATCGTATCGCTCGGAACTCATTGGCAGTTCGCCGTGCTTATCTGGCGGAGTAACAATAAAAACAAATATACCATTCTATACCATGAGTCCGCTGGCGATTCAAAAGTATAGATTTCGATAGGAGCCGTTGACCCTGGGCCACCAAAAAATACTCTTAAACAACCATAAACAGGTGTGGGTACCACTTAATTCAGCGAAACATTTTTGCCATTCTTGCGCAGACCGACAAAGTAATCCCAAAGTGTTCGGCGTACTGGGAGTCAAATTAATCAACTAGAAAGTGTTTTAAAAGTTCATAACATTTGAATAATATTTAAAAATTAATTTTCACATGAATCACCCTTTATAATATCACAAATATTCGCCCAGATAAGTATTATTTAAAATGCTGGCAATAAGACTTAAAGACAAGAACTGGTTTTACATATTTACTTATTTGTATATCTAAATACCTACTTTTTTTTATTTTCTATCAAAATGTAGAAAAGTCCTAATTTTCCAGCTTATGTGAACAATTTGTCGTCCATCCGTTATCAACTGTCTTATGACTAGTTTCTATAAATATGTTAATTAAAATAATTAATGATTTTAAAAATTTTCAATCAATTAAAGAAGAAATTAATCTATCTACAAAGTTTTTTATATCTCATACGGTTATCATAAAAAAATATATTAACATATGAATCATTCGTAGATTGGACTTTTAAACAATCTTTCTAAAGCTCTAAAAAAACTGTTTTATTCATTTATTGGCCAATAACTTTTATGGGTGCTAATTGTGACATTCTTACCTTTTATTGGTGTTTGCGAACTAATTCACGTAATAACAGAAAAAGCGACCCTCTTTTCAGATGAAAATGGAAAATGGTTGATTATGGCAATACACGTATCGCATTTGCTGCAACACTTTTTGTAACAACTTTGATTATAGTAATATTGCGTGACTCTAACGAAGTTGCTTCTGAATCGAGAGTTATCAAAAGTGTCAATCAGACAATCGATTTGCTGTTCCATGTTTATTTACACAGAACGTATCGTTAACGATCAATGTAGTAATACGAATCAAGAGTTTGTTGAGGTATTTATTCGTTTTTTTTTTTGGTTTGGGAACTTAATCTAAAATTGCTTTGGAGTATTGTCAACCTCTAGACATCTTCACAAGATACCATATGATTGCTGTAAGAAACACGGAAAAAAACAAACATTAAGGTTGTAGATAATTGCTGTTGCCGAGCTTATCACTCCGGTACTCAGTCTAATATCAAATGGGAATCAAATTGTGTGCAGACATGACTCAACCGGGTGACAGGTGATCTATTATGATGGCATTCCGAGTACTCACCTGGCCGATGGCAACTGGAAGATATTCTGGGGAACAGCTGAAAGGCCGGAGCTCAGACACAGGAGTTTGGTGCCATTAAATCGACGATACTGATCCACCAATTGGGCGTGCTTCTGGTCCTGTTTTTGCTCGTGTTGCTTGAGAACGTGTACGAATTGCTCGGCTGTAAAATAAATAATTGAGTGACGGATCGTATAGGTTTTTGTGGAATAATATACCTATTATGCAGCTGAAGGTGGGGCCAACGGATCCGTGAACAGGCCTCTCCGAAATGCCACCCACAATTAAATCCACATCAGACCAACTGGAGTAGATGGTCTTCAGCTTGTCCAAAACCTTAAAAAAAAGGATTTCCAAATATTTGGTTCAAATAATAAGAATATTATCATATTACATCTTTGGGAATGTATTGCTCAAAGTCCCTCCAACTAGTCACGGGTTTGGACAGGACACAGGACTCTAAATATTTATGATATGGCAGCAGACCGTGATCCCTGCCTCTTTGGATGTCGAAGGCCAGAATATCGGCATGCGTGGGCTTGGTGTTCTTGTGCCAAACGACCTGAAAAGGAATATCTTTTTATCTAGATCATTAATTAATATCAGTAAACTTACACCACCCGCATATGTGGAATCCATATCCATGGCCTGCTGATTGAGTAAACTTTCGAGAATTTCATTTAATTTGGAGGACGTGTACTGCAGCTTTGGCTTGTAGATTTCTTCTTTCAGCTCGAACAGGTTTGTTGTCGGCAGATCCTTGCTAATAAAGATATATTGGGATCTTAGAAAGGAAATTAGAAATACGATCTGCCAATTTTCAACTCCAGTTTTTAACTGGTTTGCTAAATTCATCCTAAATTTCGAATAATTAAATTTAGCATCTGGTAACCTACCCTTCAGATCCGTAGACTACATTATCCTTGGTCAGATTTTGCAATTCGTTGGGCAGCATGGAGAAGTAGAATCGAATGGCGGCCACCGCGAATTCATTGGAGACCTCCAGGGCGTGCTTATTTGGCCTTCTCTTAATCTCAGTGGCCAATCGATTGCCGAGCACCGCCGGCAACCACTCCTCAATGACCACTCGACGGTATATGGCCACATTTATGGCCTTGGCTGCCTGGAAGAGCTTCTCATCGCCCCACCGGCGATTCCTTTCATGCAGTTCGACAGCCAATTTGTTGTGGTTGCGCATGAAAATCGTGTAGATCAGTATGGAGAAGGGATTGCTGTTCACCCGCGAGTCTCCGGCAGCAAAACAGGTGCCATCTCCGATTTTATCCCGAGCACAGAAGGAGGGTCCTTCCGTATCCGTGGCCATGGGCAGCAGGGCATTGTCGTACTCGCCACGCGGCGTTGTCTTCAATAGTCCTCCCTCGAGGACCCTCAACTTTTTCTCTGCCGCCAAGGTGAAGCCGTAGAGTTGCGACAGATCCAAGGATCCCGTGGCCTGGTTGAGCTATAAGATCAAAGAAATCAGTTCAAAATCAGTTTTCTTAGTTTTCCACTAGCAAATTCTTCTCACCTGCTCGGCGCCACCGAAATTGCAATCGGCCACGGCCAGAGCACTTCTCACATAATTGAGGCAGCTGGGCACGTCGTATTTCCCACTGGGCTGGTACAGAATGGGAGCACATGCCGGGTGGTGGTGACGCGGCTGAAGGTTGATCTGGTCACGGCTGCAGCACTCGATCGGTGCTCCACTGCCTGGGAACGGAGAATCGTTAATTGAATTAATTAAGTGGCAAAGAACGTTTTTATCAAGGAAGCCATCGTTTTTAATTCTTTAAAATATTAAATAGTATTTATAACAAAGGTCTGCCTTTTCAAAACAAATTTTTGGATTTGTAATAGATTTCGTTTACATGGACTACATTAAAACATAAATTAATATATCTTTCGTGTGTCCTTACAGTGGAAATTGAGGAATTAAAGTTAGAAAGGTTAATAATAATATTGTATGCTGTTTTGAGTGTCTGCACTAAGAACTATTCTGTTTATTTATACTAATCCCAATTTTTTAAATTTCTTGATTCAGCTCTATGTGTCTTCTTTGAATCTTTTTCCCAACTATAAGTAGATTTTAATTAATAACGACACTTACCCATTGATTGTGACACGGGCTTGCTAAGATCGTGCTCCACGAATTGAGCCCACTGTGCCAGTCCCAAATTCGAGTTGTTCTCGACAATTACTTCATTAAGGGTCTGATTGTCATCGGGCTCGTAGAGCTCCTTACTAATGGACCAAGCAGCCGGAACAGCATCCCGACTACCAGAATTGGGAAACATCTGAAAGTATCAAGTATTATAGAATAGTTTATATATTTAGTGTATCTATACGTGCCTCATAAAAACCGTTCCTGTAATGGCTGCTCTCGAGTAGCCTCCTAAAGGCATGGTGACCTTCCCGGTTTCCCTTGAGCAAGTTCTCGCACTCGGTCCTTAAAGTACTGCCCTCCGGAAGTGGTTTTTGCTCCAGGTAACTGCGACACTCATCCCCATCGATTTCATTTGGAAGGCACTCGCTGTTGAAAACAAACAAGCTGGATTTCAGGATCTTCAGAGCTAGGAAGCTATCCTCCTTTGATGCCAGATTTGGTAATGTTTCCAGAAGTTGGGCATGTGAAAGGCTTCCGTTTTTGACAGTGATGTCGGAATTTAACAGGTTATCCTCCAGCCTGAAAAGTGAAATATAATAATTAAAATAATGATAAAAAATTATAATATATTACGCTTTATGTTTCCTATTTTGTAGTGCTACTATAAGTAAATCAAGACTTGCAGTCAGGAAAGTGTCACTTCCCAAACTAATCAGTGTAAGTCATTTAATTTAACTAGTTTTTAAAGTAATAACTAATTATTTACAAACCGCTTTTGTCTTTTTACTGAGTCAAGAGCTGAGTCGACCAACTGCAACCATTTCGAGGCCGGAATCCTGTTTAACTCTGCATTAACATCCCGTCTGGCTGAAAATATAAAAAAAGGTAAATTAAATAATAAAATTGAAGTTGGATCAGATGAGTAACTTCTGCTTTTATATTGTGCGAGATTTGATTACTTATTTATGTTGTTACTTTCGTGGGAATTTAATTTCTTGGCGTCGCTTTAAACTAATTGGACAATTTCAAAAGAAATGATTTATTTGCACACTGGAATATTCCACAAATTAAGCGCTGTCAACACTTTAATCGAGACAATTTAAGAATACTATATTACAAAAGGTCATAATCAAGCAATACAAGATAGCTTACTAGCGAATTGTTATTAAACAGCTGATCATTATCGAAAGTGTGCATCCCCCTGTTAAGAGAAATCTAACTGCTCAAAATATGCTAATTGATAAAATAAAAAATGAATCTAAATCGGCAAATAAACATCGATTTATTGCCACGCTTATACAAATCTATTTGGTTTCAAATGGTAAACAGTTTTTGATTGGGGGTTTTCTTAGTGATAAGAAATGTGACGAAAGTGAACTTTCGGGGTGAGCGTTTGGGATTTATAGGAATCTTTATCAACAAGTACTTGCAATTAGTTTTCTGTTATATTGAACACATTTTTGAAATGCTTACTATAATGAGCCAACGTGATTCTTGGGAAAAACAAGTGCAGTCATTCATGATGATATAAGGCGTGAGCTTTGACCATCGATCACTTAGCACTCGCAAAAAAGAGGGAAAGTACCTTTTTGCATCAAGATGATAAAACTTTATAGTATCAGTAAAATCATAAATAGGTTTGAAAGTTCGTAGTTCCCAAAAGACGACGATCCTCCGTTTTTTTATGTCTTCCTGTTTAATCAATAAAATATGTATTTAAACTGGACACTTTTATTATTGCGGTGGACCGAATATTAAACCAAGCTTTAAAGTCAATACACTCAATTTTTCTCTATTTTCATGCTTTCTCATTTAAACTCAGCTCTCTTGGAAGAAATTAGCATAAGAATAAGAGATAAATGATAATGATAACTCAAAATATCCAGAATAGTGTAGGGCTTCTTCTTGTTATCAGACTTACATTCTGCCTCGCCAATTGTCAATAATGATGCTCCTATTATGAAAGCCAGCAGGCAGTTGTACTTGATTCCACCCATTGCAGTGTTCTTTGTTCTAGAGCTCGGATCTCTCAGTCCACCGGTTGTGATTCACACGTCAATGGAATTTAAGTCACGTCGCTAGCTTGTGATAAGGAAGTGATCCGAACTGCGACTCTATCGCATTCGATCCGCGCTTTCCGTTCAATTAAAACCGTGTCGACGGCTCAGCGAATCGTAGACTACTGAGCTTGGGGGCAAATCTCGGAAGAATCGAGCCGATGAGAATGAGGCGGATCATTACCACGCACAATGGAGCTCATCATCGTCATCATCATCATCTGGCTCGCCGCGCTCTCTCATCGGATAAATGAAATCGAGTAAACGTAAACAAAGTTTATTTTTGTTTTGGCTTGGTGAATCAAGCCGTTTGTGTGTGCATCTCCCACAAAGCCGTACAAACACAAACATAATATGCAAATGGTGACCACACCTGAGGATTCATTTAAGCCCACGCCTTTATCTACCTGTTGAGAAAAGTAATGAGTTTGTTAAGCGCTTGCAAAATGCTTGGGGTTATATATTTGCAGAAGGAGAGATTCAAATTTGGCGCCACATATAGATTTATCGATAGGTTTATGAACTGGCTCTTGAGTTCCAGTGTAGAACCAGTTCGTTAAGTACTGGAATTTTTATCAGGAGATAAATCACTATTGCTAAATTTATTTAAAGAATCTATTTTTGAGATTTAAGATTTTTTTTTTAAAACTTTTTTAAACATTTCAGGGAATACCCCAATTATTTTCATTTATCGTGATAGCTAGCGAACAATCGATAGTGCCGGCTGTCGATATTAACGATAGTGCCACCACTTCTTCTTCCCTCTCTAATTTTTCAGCCAAACAAGCGTTTTTCTTTCCCAAAAGTGTAATTTTATCAATTAAAGGAGACGATTACGCCAGCCATGCCAGCTTTAGACGCGGAAGCCCCCGAGGAGCAGTTCGGCAATGATCAGCCCAAGTCGATGTCGGGTCCCATTGTGGGGATTATCTATCCGCCGCCGGAAGTCAGAAGCATCCTTTTGCAAACAGAAAACAAAACATTTTTCCTATTTTCTCCTTGATAATATTACTAATATAACAAAGTTTTAGAGTTTTCCACATACTCAGTTCTTAATTAACTAATAGATATCGTTGACAAGACCGCCAGTTTCGTGGCCCGCAATGGACCGGAGTTCGAGGCGAGAATCCGGCAAAACGAGCTGGGCAATCCGAAGTTCAACTTCTTGAATGGCGGCGATCCCTACCACGCCTACTACAGACACAAGGTCAACGAGTTCCGCGAGGGCAATGGTATGTTTTTGACTCCAAACCCCTTCAAGATCCCCCTTAATAATACCCCCCTTAGATGCCGGAATCACTGCCATTGCGGGCATGAAGCAGCTGGCGGTGACCAGTGCCGCCCAGCAGCGCCAGCAGGAGCTCCTCAAGCAGGTGGTGGAGCAGCAGTTCGTGCCCAAGGAGCCGCCGCCGGAATTCGAGTTCATCGCCGATCCGCCCTCCATTTCGGCCCTGGATTTGTAAGTGCTCCTTTGGTCAGAAAGTAGAGCCCTGCATGAATGGATTCAATTAATTATTTTGAATTTTTTGTTTTACATGAATGAAGTAATTGGAATTTTGAGTTTAATAGAATTGAATGAATTTGGATTTTGAGTTTAAAAGAATAATTCAAACGACAATTTCTTTTAGAGAAGAAAGGGCCATCATTTTGTAATTAAATCCGCCTGAATTTTATTTACTAAGCAGTTAACAACGATTTGTTAAAAATTTTTTACTTTTTGTTCTTAAAAGAAAGCACAAACAAAATCTGGCAAATTCAAAAAATTCACACATATTATTCATTTATTCATTCAATTCGAAATGAATTAGAAAAACATTTAATTTATTCCACATACAATTGAATTAAATAAATTAATAATAAATTTAATGATTCACGCAGGGCTCTATTAGATAGCTACCAACTAATCCTTGAACCTTTCCCTTCAGAGACATTGTAAAGCTCACCGCCCAATTTGTGGCCCGTAATGGCCGCCAGTTTCTGACCAATCTGATGAGCCGGGAGCAGCGCAACTTCCAGTTCGACTTCCTGCGACCGCAGCACTCGCTCTTCCAGTACTTCACCAAGCTCCTCGAGCAATACACCAAAGTTCTAATACCGCCCAAGGATCTGCTCGGCAAGCTGCGCGCGGAAAGTGCTCCGGGCAGGGCCAGCATGAACCAGGTGCTGGACCACGTCAAGTACCGGGCCAATTGGCAGCGCCACCAGGAGGCCCAGCGGCGTCGCGAGGAGGAGAAGATCGAAAGGGAGCGCGTGGCTTACGCCCAAATAGACTGGCACGACTTTGTAGTCGTCGAGACGGTGGACTATCAGCCCTTCGAGTCGGGCAACTTCCCGCCGCCCACGAATCCCGACGAGGTGGGCGCCCGTGTGCTCATGGAGGAGCGTCTGATGGACGAGGAGGGCGACACAGAGATGCAGATTGAATCCGATGATGAGGGTGACTCGCATGTGGCTAGCCACCTGGAGAGCGGCGGCCTCAAGCTCTCGCAGATGGAGAACCGCGTGGGCATTCAGATGAAGAACGTGTCGTCCTACGGCCAGCCGACGGGCGCCAAGCGGGACAACACTCAGGTGCAGGACATGGACGAGGCCTCCAGCGACGAGGACACACCGACGACGACCAAGCTGCAGCCAGCTGTGGCGCCCATGCTGCCGCCCACCCACGACAAGGTGGTGGTCAAGAAGTACGATCCGAAGGCCACACAACCGAAACCGGCACCCATGCCCACGGACGAGTATCTCATCTCACCGATCACGGGAGAAAAGATCCCCGCCTCCAAGGTATCGGAGCACATGCGCATCGGTCTCCTGGATCCACGCTGGGTGGAGCAGCGCGACAAGCACACGGTGGAGAAAATCAACCAGGACAACGTCTTCGCCGCGGGCACAGCCATCGAGGCGAGTCTCAAGCAGCTGGCCGAGCGGCGTACGGATATCTTTGGTGTTGGGGACGAGGAGACGGTTATTGGCAAGAAGCTGGGCGAGGAGGAGACCAAGAAGGACGATCGCGTCACCTGGGACGGGCACACTTCGAGTGTCGAGGCAGCCACGCGCGCAGCCCGCGCGAATATCACGCTGGAGGAGCAAATCCATCAGATCCACAAGGTCAAGGGACTGCTGCCGGACGAGGAGAAGGAGAAGATCGGACCCAAGCCGGTGGGCAGCAAGGCCACGCTCTCAGCGCCGCCGCAGCCGTCAACCAAGTCGCAGCACAGCCACTCCAACCAGAATCAGCACCACCAAGGAGGCGGTGGAGGTGGAGGTGGTCACCACGGGCACCACAACATGCACCACCATCATCCGCCGCATCAGCAGGCGCCGTCGCACCAATCGCACCACCACCATCCGCCGCAGCAGCCGCCGCAACCGGTGATGCAGCTGATGCAACTGCGACCACAAATGATGCGTAAGTAAACGGAGAATACTAGCTCCTATTGTAATCCCTTTTTACTTTGCAGAACCCCCATTTGGAGCTGGTGGTGGAGGCTACATGAACATGCAAGGTGGTGGCGGGCCTCCGCAAATTGCACCTGCTCCGCCTGTTGAATTAGTGGAGGAGGAGCCGCCTTCCAAGAAGATGCGTAGCGAGGACAACCTAATTCCAGAAGCAGAGTTTATTGCAAGCCACAAGGTGATTGTGATTTCCCTTCTCTACAATTCAAGGAGTTTTACTAACCCACTTTGTGTTTTCCTTTTAGAGCCCTGTAACCATTCAGGTCCTGGTGCCCAATTCAGACAAATCCGAGTGGAAGCTAAATGGCCAAATGATTGCCGTGACCATGGCTCTCTCCGAACCGATCACCAATCTCAAGACAAAGCTGCAGGATGAGACTGGTATGCCACCGGCCAAGCAGAAGATCTTTTACGAGGTAATAAATACGATTAATTTCAAGAAATGTAATCACTTTACCGCCAATTTTTTAGGGAATGTTCTTCAAAGACAGCAACACTATGGCTTTTTACAATCTCGTGAACGGAACCACAGTGCATTTACAGGTCAAGGAGCGTGGTGGCCGCAAGAAGTAGGAGTATCAAAAGATTAACGCAATACCAGACACAATTAGGAAAGCTCCATATGTAGAAATTTATTTGTATATGGTGTTTCGCATAAATTTGTAATAAATTGTCAATCACAGAATTTGTTAATTGCACTTTAGCTCTATTAATTTAAGGTGATGTACAAAAGGGAATCGGTAGAATAGTCGGGGAATGCGCCGAGTGTAAAACGGAATGTTACGTTGGGTTTTCGGAGAGTCTATTAGTCTTCAGTGGCCAAAATGCGCGCCATTTCGCGGTACCGGAGTAGCATGGGACCGTAGATTTGCTCGCTGTCCTTGTGAGGTTCGCACATCAGGTCCAACTTATTGCTCGTCAGGCTAAGGATGTATTCTCGGTAGGACAGGGGCTCCTCCTTCTTATTTTTATCCAGTTCATGGAGGTACAGAGAGTAGGCGGCCCGGTAAGCGGCTCCCATCAAGGCGGCCTCATGTCCTTCGTCCTGCAAGATAATAATGACTTAGTATTAAACATTTAACAGAGAAACCACAAGTTGACCCACCTGGACATGAACAGGCGAATTGAACACATCGGCGACAGTCTGCAGAATCGATTTGTTAACGGAGGCGCCTCCAGTGACCAGGATTTGGGTCTCGGGACCAAAGTGGTAGCCAAGGTCCTCGGCCACAGCCCGGTGATGCAGCATCTGTCCTTCAACTAGGGCACGAATTTCTATTTGAGGCGAGCTGAATCTGTAAAAAGAAAGTGAGAAGTTATGAGTTAAAATAGTAAAGGGGTAAAACATCTGTGAAATAAATAAATTACAGGCAAGTGTAAAAAAGTCAGTGCTAAAAATAACAGCTCACAAATGATTGTTTTATGACGACTGCCCTATAATTTTAACAGCTGCTTTATTATTCCCGTCTGCCGTAAAAAACCTACTTGATAAGACCCTTGGCTGCCTCCGGGGAGCTGGGTACAATTTCCTTGCTCCACCGCAAAATGCCCTGCGCCTTGGGGATAATTTCCATATCGGGGAAGTGAATGGCCATGTTTCCGAAGTTTCCGCGTGGAGTGGAGTCGAGATACTCGTTGAATTTGTCCCAGTTGCCGCCGGTCATCGACTTGTTGACTCCCTCGCGGACCAAAGAGGCATTTCTAAAACTAGGAGGGAATATTTAATAATAATTATAGGATCCTGCGAAGAACTACATACCATAGCAGGCCCATGAACGATTCAATGTCGGTTGGATGACACAGCACATGACCCTCCTCCCAGTGCAGTTGATTCTTCATGCTCACCATCAAAGTGTCGCTGGTGCCCAGGGAAATGGTCAGCCAGTTGCTGCCCACCAGCATCCCGGAAAGGGACGAACAATTGTCGCCCGTACTGGCGATCACCTTGCAGTCGGGCGAAAAGCTAAAACGCTTCACAAAATACTTTGAGACGTTGCCCAAAACAGTATGCGGACTGACCGGCAGACCCAGACGCTCGTCAAGATCAGGGGCACAGACATTCAGGCATTCCTTGGACCAGTTGCGCTTGCTAATGTTCAGCAGATTCATACCGGAACCGTCACTGAAGTCAATTGGAGCAACTGCACCCAGGAACAGCGACGATATGAAGCTGCTGACCAATGAGATTCGAACGGCCTCGTCGTAGGCGTGGCAGCGTTTCTGGTATATCTTCCTGATCTGGGGTCCCGTGAAGCGTTCGTAGCACTTGGAGCCGGTCAGTTCCACCATTTTGAGCTTGCCCCCGACGGCCATCTCCATTTCCAGGCACTGTTTCGTCGTGGTGGCGTCCATCCAAATGGGCGTCCGGTTGACCACAAAGGCGGAGTCGTCGATTTGTGCGTGAAGGAACTTGTCGGAGTCCAGTTTTTGCAGCGTGTTGATTCCGTGCTTAGACCAGTACAGCGATCCGTGCTGCTGGCCGGAGCCACTGACTCCCGCCACGGTGCTAAGATCAGCCTGCTGCATAACCAGTCGCTCCAGGACAATGTCCATGGCCTTCACCCACATCACGGGCTGCACATAGTATCTACAGGAGAAGGGGATTACAAAGAGTTTAGTTTTATTTATGGATATCAACAAAATGGGTGTGATAATATTTGATCTTTCTTATCATTAACTACTATAAAAGGCAGTAAATTTAATCGGACAAACACAACGAGTTGATTTTATAATTGACAATATTACTTCGAAATTAAGAACTTAAAGCCTAGTACTCACTTCAATCAAAAAGCCAACGAAATGAAAATCTCCATACAAAATTTTGATCACAAAATTTTTTGCCTGTCATTTTTGTATAGAAATTTTCATTTCGTTGCTTTTTTGATTGAAGTGAGTACTAGGCTTTACTTGGAAATATATCAATATTTGTTATTAAATATTAAATTTTCTTAATTTTTTTATATTTCATATTTGTAATCTTAGGTATAAACTATAATAATAAAACCAAGTGAAAGTAGCTATCAATATCATTAACTACTATAAAAGAAGGCACTACATTTAACCGGACAAACACAACGAATTGGTATTATAATTGACAATATTACTATGATATTAAGAACTTAACTAAGAAATATTTGTTATTATTAAATATTACATTTGCTTAAATTTCTTTAACATTTTTTGTAAAAATTTGAGGACTCCTATGTATAATTCATAATAAAACCAAGTGAAAGTAGCTATCAATTTGACCTTATTCTGAAGTCACGGACTCACTCATTTTTGTTGGGTCCGGCATTGGCTCCTCCCGTGGTCCGGAACTCCGGCAAATCCGTGTCGAATTTCACCTCCGCCTTGGCAACCACCTCCAAAGTGGAGCTCAGCAGGACCGCTTTGAGCTAAATGAAAGAGGCAATGGGGCAGCAATTAGAGGAGATATGGAGACACACCTCGAAAATAACGATCAAACAGAGGGCAACTAGGAGTCACCGCTGGCGTCATTCAGGAATTGCGAAAGTTATTGCGGCTCTATTAAGATAATGGCGGTGGCCAATACATCCGAACATGAATTTTAATAATCAAACCCACAATAGTTAAATTGTTTGTGCTCGGGGGGCAGATAAGGCGAGAGTCGAGCCCCAGGTCACTGTTACTGATAAGAATAGTTTAGTTTGCTTTTGCGTATGGGGGGGAAACAGGTTCCCGAGTTCCGTTTGACCTTTTCGAGTAACACCATTCCCACGAAGCGAGAAGAGATGGAGTCAGATCGGAGACGCCTCCGCATCTCAGATGCCAAGATATGTACTACGTAGGCAGTTCCGGTTCTTACCTTCTGAGTGCTCAGGTCGAAGCCAAGAAAGGTTCGTTTCAGCTGCTTCGGCGGACCCATTTTCAAACTGCTTCCGGTTTTACTGGGTGTTTGGGAACTACTCGACTGACGCTCGTCTAACGCATGCGGCGCTGCCCGATTCCACGGGTTAAATAGCCGGAACGCCTGGAGATTTTGGATTTTGTCGACGGTAACGCATCAAAAAAACATTTATCGATAAATCGATGTTTCGAGTTGTAGTGTGACTGACGCTAGATTCCAAAAATCCCCTATTTCTGTGAGCTGGCGCGCTATTTAAATATACATCTGCCTATAACGTGTCTATATTCAGACAGTTTACTGACCATTTCCTTAAGACCGACTTAACAGATTAAATAATTCTTGCTCCGTCTCTTAAAAACTTGGCTAGAAAGAAATTGAAAGAAAATAATTGTTTATACCAGCATATTCCACAATAGAAAGCAAGTAAAGTTGTGATAAAGAAAATCTTTTATTTGAGAACCAGCTTAAAATTTAACAAATTTCCCACAGAACTTTTCAAAATTCGGAAAAGTATTTCAAGCAAATTAGAAAATCATGATAGGTTGGCAGCACCAAAACACTGTTATTTCTAATTTGTAATGGTTCATTGCGTTTAAATTCGGAAATTCGACTGAAAACAAAAACGCAAGTCAATAAAGGGCATTGCAAATCTTCTTATCGAATCATTTGATTTTAAATTCATTCAATTAAATTAATGGAATAAAAAAAGATCTCTATTTTGCCATGTCTGGCAGAACCGTCTCGTGAGCACATCTCTAATCCTATCGAACTAATCGCCAGAAACCATCGATAAATATCGGCAAGAAAAAGGTTTTTAAACATCACTAATTTTGGGCCAGGAAATCGCTAGTTATAGGTCAGAATTGGAAAATTAAGTTAAATTAAGTGGTGTTATTTGAGTCCGCTTGAGTGAGCATGTCGCTAAACTACGAGGAGATGAGCTGGTCGGGTGAGTTTTCCCCCATTCCGGTTTCATGCGGGCCCACGTCAGTGGTCGTCCCATGTGTCCGGTTCTCCGTGGACCGAAAAAATGGGGCCATGAATGAAAAGTGCCGGATCATAATTCCTTGGGTTCTTCCAGATGTTCGCGATCAGTTCAGGAAGTGGCGCGAGGAGACGGGTCGCCACAGCGAGGAGGTGGTGCAGCTCTGGGTGGCTGTGCTGGAGGACAAGGTTCACAAGACCGGCAACGAGCGCCACCTCATCCTCGAACAGGTGATCATCGCTGCTTTGGACACGGCCCGCTTCGACATCGCCACCCAGTGCACCAAGCAGCTGGCCCTGGAGTTCCCGGGCAGCCTGCGCGTGATGAAGTTCAAGGCGATGCGCTACGAGGCTCTGGAGCAGTACGATGAGGCCGACGAGGTCCTGGACGCCATCATCGCCAAGGACGAGACCAATGCCGCGCCCAGGAAGCGCAAGATTGCCATCCTAAAGGCCCGCGGACGTCGCCTGGAGGCCATCAAGGAGCTCAACGAATATCTAAAGAAGTATGGCCACTAAATTCTAGGTTTAAAAAGTAACCTTTGGAATGGTTTATCTCATACCTATAATTTCTTTTTACAGGTTCATGTCTGACCAGGAAGCCTGGCACGAGCTGTGCACAATGTATTTGGCCGAAGGAGAGTTCGGCAAGGCGGCCTTCTGCATGGAGGAGGTTCTGCTGCACAATCCCCATAGCCATCTGATACACCAGCGGCTGGCGGAAATACGCTACACAATGGTGACCTGACTTATATAACCCATTTATACTTTCAAAATGTTTAATTAACCAAATTCCATTCTATTAGGGTGGCGTCGAGAATGTGGAAACTGCTCGCACTTACTACTCGCAGGCCCTGAAGCTGAACCCGCATAACTTGCGCGCTCTTTACGGCATTTACTTGTGCTGCAACTATTTGGCCAACTCGCGAGCTGTGAGCTCCAAGCGCAAGGAGCTGCAGAAGCTGGGTCAGTGGGCCCTCGAACAAGTTACGGAGCAAACCACCAAACAATCCACGATCAAGAACAACGACAAACTGATTCTGTCACTGGAGGCTGCCTTAGGAAACCTGGAAATTAAATCGAATTGACCAATTTAAGCACCAATGGATATCACATCATTTGTGCAATAGATGCCAGAAAGTAATGATTCCAAATATTCTTAGAAATGGGTTTCCAGTTTCTGTTTCTTAAGCGAGTTACATAGATAAACATTTAAAGTATCGGGAGTAAAAAGAATTTTATAGTCAGTGCATCCGAGCTAGTATTTTTGATGTTAAAGTATCGGTGACGGCTTTGAACTCGGATAATTTATAACCTTGAACATTGAGGTATGCGAAGATAGTCCTGTAATAAATTTAGAAAAATCAATTATCAACATTTGAAGACTTTTCTTTTGAGCCCATATATCTTTTGTTTTTATGTTTCTGTTTTTCTCTCGTTTGACCTTTATTATAAAAACAAAAGCTCTTACTCATGCCCACGAATTTACATCTGTAACAATTAATCGGACATTGAACGACATTCATAATGCTGTTTAAGTGAAGAACATTTATTCTGAAGATGGGGCCTATTATATACGTACTGTTTACTTGACTATTCATAGAGTCCATTGACTCGCATTATTGTAAAAATTGCTTTAATGTGCTAGATTAATTCTCACTAGGCTCGAGCGTGTCCATCGCCATACAATTGCATATTTATATACGTTCATGGCAATTATCATATGCATATTTACTTGCATCGCACAGTAGGTGCAATCGTCGACTGCAGGGCATTCGAGGGCAGCGCTGATAATCCAGCGGACGGTTAAAAATAGTCCAACAATGGGACAGAATGCAATCAGTGGAATGCCCCTCGCGTCCTCGGCGAATCACTTTAGTTTGTCGAGGAGCCGTTGCCGTAGGTCCGCCCACTATGCGATTTCCTTGAGTGCTTTGGCCGGAAGAAGTCCTTGAAAGTGAGCGCTGGTGCGGGTTGTGGCTTCTCCGAGTTGCTGGTCGAGTCCTGACCATGTCCTTGCGAAGAGGAGAGTGCCATATGACCTCCACTCCCGCCACAGACCGGCAGTCCATCCAGATATTTCAGCTGGGGGAGCACTTGCAGGATATACTCGCGAGGTCCTTGGCCACCGAAAACAGTGCGGATGCCAGGATTACCCATGCAAGAGAGCTGATCTAGCGCAGGACACTGCCGTTCGATGCGGTGTATCCAGTCGGTTATGTTGGCTATATCGCAGTTGTTAATCCTATAAAGCAAATAGGTATTATTAGTTTGAAACCCTTTTAAATAATCCTCAAAAATCACCACAAGATCCTCAGGCTTGGTAGGTAAGGAAAAGTATTTATGTCCAGGTTCACATTGCGGTCCAGAATCAAAGTGTCCAGGTCCTCGAAAAACGAGAGAAATCTTAGGTTTCGGAAATCATTGTGACTCAAATCGAGGAACTTGGTCTGTGCAGCGAATTTATCAGCCAGTCGCCGAGGAATGGTCTTCAGGTTCTCATAAGCCAGTGATATACGACCATTGTCCTCTAGAATACTCTCCGTGAAGGACACGTCTTCACTGGGACAACTACTGATGGAAAAGTTGCCCGAAAGGTTGAAGGAGTATGGATTCGGCGTTATCATCTTGCCCTCATTGGATTCGGTCAGGAAAACGTCGTTATATTCGTAGTTTAAGCTTTCTACCGACTGGATATTTGCACAGGTCCTGAGCACCTCCGTCAGGCCTGGATTCGATGGACTGTAATAGCCATATAAAGATTATTATCTGCATTTTTGGACTCACAATGAGTGTCTCACCTGTCTTCGGAGTTGGAGCGCTCAGAGGTCGATGTTCCAGACATAACGGCGCGAAATCCTCATAACTAGCACGTAATCCTCGTCTCTGAGTATTCCAATTGGAACTGGGAGACTATATTTATTTTGGTCCAAAGTCAGTGACAGACTGAGGGAAAAAATAACACTGATTCTTGCTCCGCGCAGATTATCTGAGTCTTCCGCTCCCCAAGCAAACATAAACCCCAATATATGTACATGTGTGTGCATTAAAACAATTGTCATCTCGGTGGTCACGATTACCCAGCGCACTCAAAATACACTTGAAATAAATTGTTCATGATGTTTTATATGTAAATGCGTTCTTTATCGTTAACAATAATATTTTTCTCGGATAAGAATAATATTATCGTAATAAATTAAAAATAATAAATATTGAAATGAAATTCTTAATTTATCAACACAACTATTATTTTATAGCTGTAAGATAAAAAAATTTTAAAAAATGATTTAATGTAATTTTTTAAATTTAAATAAAACATTTTTTCAGTGTAAAATTACTCGCTTAAATTAGTAAGTGTGAATGCACATACTCGTACATACAAACAAAAGTCGAGAACAACAATACAAAGTACGAGGAACAGAACTCAAACTCTCTTTGTTGATGCTGATACTCTTTTCTGAAATTATCTATGGACAGGGTACGTTAACTCTGGTTAATGATTAGTATACTATTCAGTCATACGTTTTCCAAACGTCTTATTTGATTTGACGAACTTTTAGTTAGAGGGTTTACAGTGTTTCTTCTTATCGCAACCTTTTATCAAAGTCGGAAATGCTTTTTTTTAAATTACGTGTCCAGAAACAATTGGTCTTAATAATTGAAATGGGAAGAGGATATCAAATCGCTTTTTCATCAGTATAGTAGTAGTTCAATAGTTTTTCCATTGTTTATTTGTTTGTGGAGTCTTATAGCCACTTATTAGGGTGAAAAAACAGTAAATAATCTTTGTAAATAATATATTCTCTGTAAATATTGTTTACACTTTGTACGCATGTAATTGATTTTAATACTTTTGTTTATTTGTGCTAGAAGCGTTGACCGATTGTCAAGTCGATCGCAGGCGGAAACATAAAGAAAACGTGAAAATATGTTGATTATTGACATTAATCTAGCTTTACAGCACGGCACCAGTTACATTTATTATAATATTGGCTATAGGAGACTTCAAATAATTAATTATTACATGATTTAATTATTTATTTTATTTACTAAAAAATTTTAAAACATTCATCTTAACAATAAGTCTTTAAAAAATTCGACTAAATTATAAATTTGCGAATACCAGATTAAGCATATCTTAAAAAAATTGGATTTTTTAGAAATATATATTTAAATAAATTAAATACATTTTTGAAGTAATGTTAAGTTAGTTTGTGTTGGTTTGGACATCAGAAACTTGACTGTGGTTACACCTTACACAGTGATCGTAACTGTCCAATTAGACGTCTTCGGCTTCTTCTCTAGGTTTTGATTCGAATCACTCACTCATTCATTAAGTTAATTTACTCATAAGCACTCGTAAGAGACTCGAACAAGTGGCCAAAGCACTACTATGCCATTCCACTAGGCGATATAGTGGAATGAGCGAGGGGCGAGCCCCCGGCGGGACTTTCGCTCTCAGCGCTACTGAAACAGACCCCCCCTCCCCACCACTAGCCGTACCGCTCGTAAAGCTGCCTGGTACTCTGGTACGGCGGTTCCGCTGGGGCTGGAATGGAGCATGGTGAGCAAATGGTCGGCAGTCAGCTCCACGCTCTAGACCCCAATAGTTCGGCGCGGCCCACACGCGGCAAAAGCTCAGCAAGATCGATCCGAATCGAATTGAATCGACTTTTCGTGAGTGTGTGCGAGTGTTTTTTGCGGCAGTGCACTGCTGTTGACTAATTCTCAATCGGCGCTTGGCCTCGAGTTGCAAATCGAGTCACTTCAAATCGCAGCGGTAATAACAAAAACACGACTGGGTTTACATAAAAATGCAACTGAACATGCGAGCATAACACAAAAGCTAGATTGAGTTTGTTATTGATTACTCGGGTTGCCAAACAACCATTAAATCGATTCTGGCACAGAGGAAAAATTTGTCACCAAATTGTGTTAATTTAAGTTAAAAAATCATAAATCAATGTGAAGTGGAAATACACTATTTTTAATTGAATCCTATTTGAAATTGATCACACAATTTGTAATTATTTCATTTAAAAATTGTGTAAATTAAAGTATATAAACCATTATAAAAAGCTTATAAATATTTTGTGACTAATAAGGAAAAAACCAAAATTAATGTAACATGAAAATAATGAAGTTTATGAATTGCTCATCAAGCCTATTAAAATTTGCTTCAGATTTGACATTAATGAACATTCTATTTATATTTTTTTACTAATTACAAATTTTATAAATGCTGTACCGACTTGTGATTATTTATAAATAACATTTTTATATTTTAAATCACCAAGTATTAAAAAATATTAATATTTGAATAATTTTTCCAACTGATTACCAAATCCATTTAAAACAAAATAATATTTTTCCCCGTGCGAGAACCCCCACATATTTATTGATTAACTGACAACATAGTCGTACGATGTACACTTGTATGTGCAAACAATATCAATTCCACCGAAAGAGGTCTTTCGCTCTTATCGCAGGCGCGTGTTTACCTCCAGTGAATTTAAATGCCGATTTGTGTCGGATTGCGATTCGCACTTGTGGAAACTAACTATTCCACTATTTCATCTTAGCGGCTTTACTGTGAGACAGTGGAGCGTGGCTTGCGCAACTCGTGCATGTGGATGTGCATAATAATGGCATTGGCCAAATCAGGTTTTGGCTTAAAAAGCTCAAAAGCCAAGAGTGTTAGCCGTGACACTCTTCTGGTTAGCGTTGCCCTTAGCCAGTGCCCACTGTGGCCGGCGGACTCAAGTGGAAATGGGCATCTGCGAAACGAGTGAGTTCATTGATTAAAAGTGCTCAGCTGACGTTGCCATTTCTTTGTGAATCTTATCAGAGCAGCAACAAAAATAGGAAAAACCAATTAAAAGCACCAATACATCAGATCGCATGAGACTTAATGCCATGCAAAAGCGATCGAACCCGGGGCCATTCGTGTGTAAGCGGTGTATTATTGCAGATACTTGCGTAGTAGTCACAAAGAATCGCATTGTTCGGATCAAAGTCCATTAAAAAAGCCCTGTCTGACTCGCAAATCGCCATAGACCGATCACTTTCCATGCCGATCGTGCGGGCAACCGTCCAAGTTTATTATCCGGTGGCGAAATGTGCTAAGATCTAACCGATCGGGGTAGAAATAAAACCTCTATAAGTAGTTTGAAAGTGAGTCGGTAAATATTAGTGCTTTCCAACGTAAGCAAATACCCAGATCAAGGGTTTATTTTAATTGGGTATCGAAAGTTTCGAGAAAACGAAATAGAATCGGTATTGTAAGCTGTCGTAATGCCGGAATTCAAGGGCAGTCCACAATGCGTGAATGCTAATTTGGCGCTGCGACCTTTCTCGATGTCACTTCGGAGTACGAGCACCCAGTAAAATATGCAAAAACCGCATTCAAAAACGAAGGCAGCATGTGTTCAGATTCTTGTATACCCCTTGGCAACAGGGCGTATTGATTATTTACCCTTTTCAAACACAATCAAGATCTCATAATATTTTTTTTGCGATTTTTGATTTATTGTACCATTTCAAGTGAAAGAAAAGTCTAAAAATATTTCTTAAGTGCCGGGTATCAGAAAAGGCAATACGAACATTTCAAATTGTTTGTTGCTCCTCTCTTTTCGTTTATTTTTGTTTTTCGCCCGTTTTGCGTCATGCACAATGAGGGAGTTTTTTCACGATCCCATCTGTTTTTATCCCAAACAGACTTCCTATATTTTCATTGAATATTTGCCAAATCGCTAGAGCCTAAAGATAAGGATAGTGGTAAATTAAATTAAAGTCCGTCACTTATCGTCTTGTTTTTCGACATTGGAGACTATCGCTTGGATATCCGTAGAGGGAAGGTTACCTTTTCATTCAAAATATTGTCACGGCTCAAGGCATTTACGTAATTGTAAGTTACAAGTCTACGGAAATGGTTTGGGCTTACTTTGATAAATAGGACTAATGAATTTAACTGAAAATAATTTATTAAAAGCCAAGAGAATCCAATAAATTGCTCCGAACTGTTGGTAAAAAATAGCCATCGACTCAATAAAAGCTGAAAATTAGATAAGCAATTCTTTGGTAATTTCCTGGTCACTCGCTCGTTTAGTGCTTATCAAATTTGCAATATTTACAATTATTGATTACTTAAACACCCCATGTGATAAACTTTTTGCCACCAGTACAAAGTGCCGAACGTGATTGATTTTTGCCTTCTGCCCTCGTGTGTGGCACCACTTTTTCTCATGACAAAAAAAGACAATAAAATAAAATCAATGCCCGACGACGTGTAAACGGGGAAAAAGTAAAAAGTCAGGTGGCGTCTTTCAGCCGACTAAAGTCTATGCGCACTCACGCCGGGTTAATGGAATATCATACCCAAAGTATTCATCATATGGGAAAAAATAGCTTTGCTCCGAGCAGCGTCCAATTTATTCACCGGCGACATTTGAGCGGTGGAAGGACAGGGTCATACAATTAACCGACGTGTTCCATTTTAATTTCACGAATGTCGGGAAGTGTGAGCACTAATTGATCGTGTGTCTGGAATGCTAATTAGATGGTCGTACTTCACCTAGAACTTGTGATTACTTATGGGTATCAGAACGTTTCTCGAAATAAAACAACAAACATTTAATTTAATCGGTGTCTACATACGCAGTGCTTTTCATTTAATTTATTCAATGAACATTTTTTGTGCCATTTCAGGGTTCCGAGTTGAACTTACTCCCAAAAAGGCAGAATGACTGGATCAGGTAAATATATTTAAATTGAAGCAATTAACTTGACATCAAAAGGGGATATTATACTTTGTAGACAGATCACATTCATGTGGAAACCATAATTTTAAAAATAGCTGTTTTACCACTTTCATTTATAATCATTTTAAATGTCACGATCAGTTTTGACGCAATGCTAGGGAATACATTTTAAAGCATACTTATGGGAAAATATTTAATGTAGAATTGGTGTGTACATAAAAGCTTTGTCAAAGGTTTCTTCATCCATCAACCAAAAATAAAATACCATTATTTTAAAATATTTGGTAACAAAATTAAATTAAAAAACGCTCTTCAGATATATTTTGTAATTCTTATAAAATTTAACTAGAACAACGTTATAACATAAAATTGTTCATGCTTTAATTATAAAACTAATGAATTTTTGTATTACTAACCTTTCAGTCCACGATCCGAAGTGGAGCCTGGAGCGCCGTGAGTCCTCCGGTCATTTGGTGTGGCGCAAGGACTCTCCGGAGTCGAAAGTCCGGTTTCGCTTCGACGTCGAGGTCCTGGAGTTTGAGAAGCATCCCCACGAGGAGCTGGACGATAAGGAGGACCACTTCTCGATGACCAGTCTCTCGGCGACAGTGGCCATGTGTGCCACCTGCGTGGCCGTGGTTGCCGCCTCCGTATTCCTGCCCTGGTATTTGATGGAGAAGGTCGGTTCGCTTTGAGAAAAACAAAGGCTCAAAGGCACTGGCTTCGTGTATATAGGTACCTCGACGGTATTAAGTAGACTCTTGTACATAAACAAGCGTAGATTTAACTACTTTTAAATAGTACGTACGTTGTAAATAGACCCTAAACGCAGAATATGTGGTTTTTATAGAGAAAAACTCTCGGTGCAATAAGAGTGCGACAATGACTGCTAATGCCAAACTATGGAATGTGGATTGTATTTTAGGATGTGTAAATTCTCATAAGTTTAGTCCTACGAAAGATCACAAAGATAGTTAATGGAATAAACGAAATTACTTGCCCTTTAAACTGCTCTCTTTTGTTAATGGAACTCAAGAGGTCGCATCTGCAATATGCAATAAAAAAAGATTTCAAGATCACGAGAATTCTGAACAGAAGCCGGTATAATAAATGTTTATCACGCACAATGCTTGGGCCACTTCTTTGGGAGTTGCTACTCGGAATTGAAGCGACCAATTAGACCATCGTATTCACATAATGAATTTCTCAACCCCTGGCTCTGGACCAATTTAAGGTAACAATCATCCCCCGCAGATGTTGCATCCCCTAACCAGCATCCCTTTGGCCCGGATTTCACGGGAGGGTTGATGGCGTAATTCCCATTTCGTTGCCTTGATTAAAATTCTTCCCTCTTTATGGCCACGCTAAAAGCGCACGAACATCGAATAAAATGTAATGCAATCAAATCATTGGGTAACGTTGGCGAAAAATGGCCGAATAGATCGTTAGGAAGTCAAATTTAACGACCAACCCCTGTAAGCACATTAACTACTTTGAAAAACTAATTGGAAGAAAGAATTATATTAGTGAAAGTTTTACTTTAAACTGAATTTGTGAATTTTTTGTATTATTTGATATTTTTTTAGCTGCATTTTAAATGTATATTTATATTTATATATTGGATGTATAGTTTTGATAGCTTTTAAATCGAACTCCAGTATGATTAAGGACTATTTCAAGGCATTACTAAAACGTTGATAACACTGCAGAAACATTTACAATGATTAGCGTATGTGTTTTAGAAGAGTTGATAAGAATGATGTCATTTAAGAGCTATATTATTCTACAATGATCTCATTAAAAGAGCTAAAACACTTAGCTCCCAAAATATGCCTGGAGGCAAAAGATAAGAACCCTGTGAGCTTTATAATTTTTTCAGATTTAATTTCAATTAAGTTTTTCGGAACGGCAGCTTGACTTAAAGTACACTCTCGAGTCAAGAAGTGGCTAGCTGCATTAATGAAATCCACTCATCCGAGTGGACTCTTCGTCTACGTCAGAGTCGAAATTGATTTCCGTAATCTCTGGCATACTGCACGGGGTGAAGTTGGATCATGATAAGTGCTTAAGGGGAAAACGAGTGGGGAGCTCAACGGGGGCAGGGGTACGAAGCGATAAGAGCCCAGCGTCGTGATAAGATTCTCATAAATGTGGCGATCTTTTATTTGAACCGCTGCTGATACTCGCTCCGTGGTCTTGTTGTGTTTTTTAGTTGCCGTATTTCTTTATTTCTATACGATCGTGCTGCTCCCTATAAACCCGGTGCAGTGAGTCAGTTTGTTGTTTGCCTCAGTCGCGAGCGGACGGTCCGTGGAGATCGGAGATCGGCCCAGATACAGATACAAATACATAAGGCAAGCGGACCGAGAACGGAATCGATCGACTGGCGATCTCGTTTGAATTCGAAACGCGGGCCAATCTAGTCTGATTGGAGATCTCCACGAGAACAGACGTTGTGCCTCCGAAAAAAATACAAGTGGGATATAAGCTCGTGGTCTAGGTGATATCGAGCACTTGCACTGAATGATTAGAGCCGGTCTCCGGGGTGCATAGAACGTAGGAAGTCGGAAAAAAGACGGCGACAAAGCCGAGCATACTTTATAACCTGTTTCGGATCCGTCTAAATGTAAGTTCCCGAAGGTCGTTCGCTATTTTGAATAATTTCTGGCACCGACTACGCTTGTTTGTTTTTACTCGAATATTGTTGGTTCACTTTTTGTTTTCTTCTTTATCTGCTCTCAGTGCCTTCAAAATGTCCAAAATGCCAGAGACAACGTTTGCCGACCTGAGTCTGGCTGATAAGGTAAATATAACAATGGGCATATCAAATACCAAATAGCATAGTGAATATTTATTAGCCACTTAAAGTTAGTGGGTGGGTTGGATTCACCCGACTCGCACAACTCGTTTCCATCGCTGAACTTGGCGATTAATATGAAAACAGCACGTGACACCTCGACAAACAAACAAAGCCCCCAAAGACGCTCTCTGAACAATAAATTAGCGCGAGACATTCACCTCGAAGCTTTTAATACCCTTCGTGAAAGTGATCGCATGACAAATCCAGTAAAACAGCTTTAATTGAGAAACCGTAAATGGGGGTCAAGCTCATTTAATTATCCCAATTTTAATGAATAAACTAAACAAAATTTCAAATGGAATATATAGTACACCACATGGCCCCGATAAATCTCGCTCCCAATAAATCTTACATTTATTAGCCGCGCAGGCTTCCAACTTCTAATCAAAAGACTGATCTGCTGGGGCAGTAAATATCGGCTCATGAAGATTGTAGGCAAATATAATGTTGTGGATACAAGTGCATGTTTATTCCATATGGCCAAGCCAGTGGAACGTAAACAACAATAGACACAATGGACAAGGTATACAATCGCAGATTTCCTTAATTCGACTGTTTACATACACTCCGGGAAGCAACCGATGGAGGTCCGGATTCTGGATCTACATATAATATATTCGCGATTTCATATCTTTCCAAATCAATTGGCGCGACGAATTATCGCCGGTATGCTAAACGACGCCAATTAGTGACCAGCTTCGAATATATTCCCTTCGGCTTTTCTTTGCACTTAAATCTAGATTTGGCCGGAATACGACGCAAAAGTCGCGCCCACAAATAAGTTTCTCATAAAAAAATGTATCAATCCCTATACTAAGCATAAGTGCGATTTCGGATGCCTTTAATTTCCAAACGATTTGTTAATTGAAAAGGGCAATAAATTCACGAGCTTGTAAATCGGTGCCTTACCTTTGATTATACGGGGCACCTAGTTAGTTAAATTGATTAGATGTCGGCAACTGTATTTATTAGCACTTGGAAATGATGCTAAAATATGCAAAGCAATAAATGGAGAATAAATTAAATTAAATGAGTTATTTGTTACTTACTGAAAAACAAGATTTATTAATGGAATTAGCTAATTATTACTTTCTTCTGACGTTAGCATTAAGATAAACTAACTGAGATAAAGCGCTGAGTAGCTTTATTGACGGTTGTTATCATAAGTCATATAAACAGAGTTTAGCTTACAAAGATTATTTATTTTTCTTGGTTTAATTTTTAATAATAAATTTATTTTAATAGACTGCAGTGAAGAAGTCCAGTATTGAAGCTAGACGGTTTTCTGATGTCTCCACCTGCTCATTTAGCTCCAGTAAGTACCAAACTTTATTTTCTTAAAAAAAAAATGTATGTATTTTTATTCCAATTTATTACCTAAATAATTTAAAAAAGTGTGATATTGAAGTTTTTACAGATTTAAAGTCTAAAATGCAAATAATATCAAAAAAATCGCAATTTGTTTAAGAGTTTCATTTTTAATTTTTTAATATTTCAGAATAATATAATATGTTTAAAAAAAATCTAATTAAACTCCCTTACAGCCTGTTTTACTGGAAGCTCAGATGAGGACGAGATTTCGCCGAAGGACAACCATCAGCGCAACTCCGCCGGAGGGACTGACTTTTGCGTGAAGAGCATTTCGAAGAGTGCGTTTGGACGGCGGGAGATCGAAATCGCCGAGTCGGAAATGCCGGGTATTATGACTCTGCGGAAGAGGGCCAAGGACGAGAAGCCGCTGAAGGGAGCTCATATTGTTGGCTGCACGCACGTCAATGCCCAGTCAGCGGTACTGATCGAAACGCTCGTCCAACTGGGCGCCTCCGTTCGCTGGGCTGCCTGCAACATATACTCCACTCAAAACGCCGTTTCAGCCGCTCTGGCAGAGGCTGGAATCCCGATCTTCGCCTGGCGCGGAGAGACGGAGGAGGAGTTTTGGTGGTGCCTGGACAGGGCCATCCACTCGGAGGGCTGGCAGCCCAACCTGATCCTAGACGACGGCGGCGATGCCACGCACCTGATGCTGAAGAAGTATCCGGACTACTTCAAGGCCATCCGTGGCATTGTGGAGGAGAGCGTGACCGGGGTTCATCGGCTGTACATGCTCTCCAAGGGGGGCAAACTCACCGTTCCGGCCATCAACGTTAACGATTCGGTTACCAAGAACAAGTTTGATACCTTCTACACGTGTCGTGACTCCATTCTCGACAGGTGAGCTATTTAAATATAATAATACTAAATATTTATTGTTATATAATTTCCTTGCAGTCTGAAACGCACCACGGATATTATGTTTGGCGGAAAACAGGTTGTGATCTGTGGCTACGGGGATGTTGGCAAGGGCTGCGCCCAGTCGCTGAAGGGTCAAGGTTGCATTGTCTACATCACAGAGGTGGATCCCATATGCGCTCTTCAGGCGGCCATGGATGGATTTCGGGTGGTGCGGTTGAACGAAGTCATCAGGAACGTGGATGTGGTGGTCACGGCAACGGGAAACAAAAATGTAATCACCCGCGATCACATGAATCGCATGAAAAATGGCTGCATCCTCTGCAACATGGGACACTCTTGCTCCGAAATTGATGTGGTGAGTATTTGGTATTATCTGATATCACTAGATATTTATTTTAATTAACTATAAATTATTTTAGAACGGCCTGCATACCCCCGAGCGCACGTGGGAGCGAGTCCGTTCCCAAGTGGACCACATCAGGTGGCCCGATGGCAGGATGATCATTCTGCTGGCTGAGGGAAGGCTGGTGAATCTCTCCTGCTCCACAATCTCCTCGTTTGTCGTATCCGTTGCCTCCTCCACTCAGGCCCTGGCTCTCATTGAACTCTTCTCAGCGCCAGGAAGATACAAATCGGATGTCTATCTGCTGCCAAAGAAAATGGGTAGGACACTTTCTTAATCCAACCAAAATATTTATTAAAATTGATTGCGTAATTGCAGACGAGTACGTGGCTAGTTTGCATCTGGCCACCTTTGATGCCCATCTTACGGAGCTCACGGACGAGCAGGCCAAATTCATGGGCTTAAACAAGGCCGGGCCTTTCAAAGCCAATTACTACAGGTGGGTCTGCCTTCTTGTCTTTAAGAGCATCTCTTTAACAACTAATTTTTATTTAATTCACAGATATTAATCAGTATTTAATGCGCTATCCTGTTATTCTCGTTCTGTAATTTTGATATTATTAAGAAAATATATATACTTCAATAAAAACCAAGTTTAAAATGAGGAGCTAAGTCTTTAGTTCTAAGAGCTGCATTGAATGGTTGGGTATACCGTGTTGCTGGGGGTGTGTAGACCGTTAAAATCGCTCATAAACATAAGCTGGTTGCCATGAATATAGGTGGCGCTTCGTTCATGGTAGTTATTAGTTCAAGAAACGGCCGCAGTTTAAATCTTGGCTTATTTTGTTTAATTTAAATTCTCAGGCGGCGCTACACATTTTCTGTTGGCTTGATTGAAAGGTAATTAATAAAACTAAAATTAATAAATAGTTAAATTCAAAAATATAGTTAACAACTTAAAAGAGACTTCACCAAAATCAAACGAACTTTTCAAAAATATAGATCTAGTAACCCAAATGTATAACTTACTGACCACTATAAAGACTTAACATTTCCAAATCTCCTGTAAATAATTCAGTTCCTAAATTATAGCTATTTTTAATAATTTCTTTCAAAAATTCTCAGTCGCTATTTTCAAATCTCATAATTTTATGAACCATTCTAAGTATTTTGTGGTTGGATAAATCACACTACCTTTTATTTAATTATCAGTGGCCATGGGTTCCATACTAAAGGAACATATAAGCCAGATAAGAGCCATACTGTCCGATTTGAAGGATGACACGCAATTAGGTGAAGAAACTGGGGATGGTGGCGGCAATGGAGTGCTCAAGATGAAGAACTGCTTGGGGAAGATAATTCTGTTGACCAGGTTCATGAGGGAGAAATTTGTGGAAAGTGACGAGTTCTGCGATCAGGAAAAAGCTGCCAACGGGATAATCTTGTCACAATGTGAGTACTTACCAGGAATGACATTATTCTCTATGCATATTTATTCTCAGGCTCTCAGAACATAAAGGGACTTTCCTCGATCCTGCCGTTATTTCAGAGTGAAGGAAGGCTCAACGGGGCGAATCAATCCTTCTTTCACCTTCACGTTGATAGTGTCCTTATTCAGCTGGAGACTGTAATCAGTAATGCCTCGAAAAAGTGTTCCCCACCCAAGGATACTGATAGGGAGTCAAGAGATATGAAAACGGAAAGTCCCCAAAATGAAAGTTCCACGGATAAGTTAAATGATTTGCGCCTCCAGTTAATAAACGCTGAGAAAAAACGGGATCTGGAACAAATAGGATACAAGTTGATGATATCGAAAGAGCGGCTTTTGGTCCGTCAGGCTCTGAAAAGACAGGAGATCGCGGAACTGAAGCTGACCGAAGAGCAGAATCGATCCAAGGAACTCGAGAAAAGTCTATCGGAAACCCAGCTCAAAATAAAAATCCTCACCGAAGAGAATCAGAAACTCAAGGATATGCAGAAAGAACTTTCTAAAACTCAATTGAAAGAAAGAAATCTGCGGAAAAGTACAAGCTGCTTTAAAAGTAAAGGTCAAAGTTTTTTAAAACCTCCCGTGAAGTGTGCGCTGCTATCCGAGGATTTGTGGGATAAGCTATACAAGTCCTGCTCTCAGTCATCACCTATCATATCTAATACGCGTTTAATCCGAGTTTGGTCAAGGGACAAGACCAAATCTTTGGTTATTAAGGACTCGTCTGTTGGTTCGGTGACTAGTAAAGCAGCCTCAAAGATTTCCAGTTTCCCAGCGCTGCCGAAATACCTGGGAAAAACCTTTGGCGATCGGTGGCTCAGTCTTCTGCGGTGGTGCAAAGAAAGAGTGAAACCATACGGTCTTCCCATGTACGAGTTCAGTTCTTCCTGGACCAGCGGACGTGCTTTGTGCGCCATCCTTCACTCTTATAAACCCGACCTGATTGACAGCATATATCTTTCGAAGAAGGAACCCAAAGAGACCTTGACATATGGCGTAAATGTGGCCCAAAACCTAGGTGTTACCAACACCATTGACTTGGTTGGGGAATGCCTAAAAAGGCATCCCAACTTCATGAAGGTCGTCGATTTTGTGGACGAGCTGCAAAACTGTCTGGAGCCAGAGTTATGAGGCAATAATTGGCATCTGTTTTTATAAACATATATTTCTATATTTTCTATAAATGTGAATAAATGAATTTCTTTGTGGTAGGGTATGACGACAGAGGGCTTTTTACTGTTTGGAAGAGCATACAATATAATTGGTTAATTTATTTTGAATATTTATTTTGTCGAATAATGAAGAACTTTTCCACCGTTTTATTTTACACGAGTAAATTGAATAGAATAAATGATGTATCCCAAATACTTCATGAATTTAATGTTGTTTAAACAAAAGTTAACAAGATTGTTACGTTTCTGAGACACCAAAAGTATTTGTAGAATTTTGATTTTTATGATATATTATAAATCAATTCGTTCTTTATACTTCAGTTACAAATAAAAAGTTATAATAAAAATAATTATACCTTTAAATATTTTTTCTATACTTTTTTCTTTTGATTGTAAAATTTTAAACATTTAAAATATATACTAGGCTTTATGGGTCATCTTGATCGTGAACAAAAGAGTTCGGCCAGTAGGTCATTATGCCATAGATGGTCTTCTGGTTGCCCCGCGGTCCTGTCAGTGGATTCAGCTGCATCAGGAAGGTGACCAGCCAGGCCAAGTAGCAGCAGACGGCGGTGAGGATCACACAGCACCGGATTATGCCCCGCTCCTCGTATCTGTAGGACACCAGGAATCCAATGATGGAGAACAGCAGCCAGAACATGGTGACGACCGAGAATGCCACATGCTTATCCATTTCCGGAGAGTTTGCCAGCTGGCCGAATGTTACGTTCTGTTCTGACAACTTTCCACCCTGCGTCCTGGATATCGGAGCTTGAACTCCCAATTTGGGTGCCTGCACTCATAAACTTTTATGGCTGCGAACATTTCGATATTTTATGGCAAACAGCGGAGGCTGCAGGCGCAGTGGAGCGCGAAGGTTGTAAATGGAAAACTGTATACATTTTCCCGAGTGCCGGAGCGGTCCATAAAACTGCTGCCACGCATCCTGACTAAGCGCAAAATCCGTTTTACGAGGACTGCCAGCTCTCCAGCTCTGCAGTTATCCTGCCAGCCATCCTACCATTCAACCTCCCCCCAGGATCATCCCCTCATCGTCCTGATGATGCCATAAGTGCCCAGGCGCGTCTCATAAAATGGCGGCTGTGCAATGGCATTGCAATGTGCGCGGTGCGGCGGTGGTGGTGTAATCGAGTTTTCCCAAAGTGGCAATAAATGTTAATGGCGACATCGAATTTTCCATTTTCTCGCCATAAGTATCAAGACGTCCGGTGCCAAGCCAGCGGTTATTTCGCGGCAATGGCCATCTTTAATTCCGTTTTGATGCGGGGAATCAGCCTTATAGAGTAGAGAGTTCAAAAAACAGTAGCTGTCTCGGGAGGCACGAACTATGCACACCGAACTCCGATATAAACTGAAAACTGCCAAGATGTTTTGGCCCGAATGTAACCGGGCCTGCCAGATCGATTGGGTATCGTAAATCTTTAGTCTCTCGGGTCTCCCGTCTCTGGAATCGCAAGCAAATGCAAATCGGGCTAAATGTGTGATTTCCCCTTTAACACGGTCGGCACTTATGAAGAAACTGAGTTGGAACCGAAGACGAAACAAAACAAAAAATCCAAATTCTGGGGCACCGCGCTATCGGTTCCGGTTCGGGTTTGTCTTGTCACTTCTTTGACAAACCGTCAAAATATTTGACTCAAGGAGTGTGGGTGCAAAATAGGTGCGTGACTGATTTGCCTGGGTTTCCTATTAGGTCTACTTCTCCTGCGAACTCTTATTGCAGTTCTACAAACGTTACAATAAGACTCAGACAACAATTTCACCCGTTGCAAATAATATATACCTTCACTTGAAAAGTATAAAAGCATTAAAAAAAGGAAAGGTTTAATTATGAAATTTACGGATTTTTAAAATATTTACAAAGGAGAAGTTAAGGAGAATTAACTTGGATAAGAAAAGAAAACAGATGGCCTAAAATATTTTTTTTTGGTAACAGTCTGAATTTTAAATCTGAATTACCATAAATAAATTTACTGTATTAACATTATTATTTTAATTGAGTTTGTATTTGGAAATTTAATAAATGAACAAGAAATCAGAATAGATAGCTCGATAACGAGAAACCAGAAATTATAACAAGACCATCTGAAAATTTGAGAACTATTTTACAAAATATTACCTTATTGGTTTTAGGCAAACTGAAAAGTATTACCACAATTATGAGATTTTAGCGCACCTGTCCTCCTTCGTTCCCATTGAACCTCACATGGATGTGTTGAGGGAGGGAACCTAAACAATTTGGATTAGTCGTACGACTCTAGCACGCGTTGTTTGTGCAGTCACTTAGCGGTTTAGCTTGGCACCGGTTAAGGAAGTGTCCGCCGTCGCCGAAACACAAAGCTTGCAACACATTTCGCAGGTAAACACCTGGGCAAGGCGTCGACTCGACTCTGTGGACCGTGTCGCTGGCGCTGTGTCCGGTACCGCTTGGCAATTCTTCACCTCCTCCCCACCACCCCCTCCATATCGCCTGAGGAACGGTCTGGACAAGTGCACACCAACGGTGTGTGAGTTCTGGTCCCGTACCTTTGTAGGCTTTCCTATTAGCACACATCCATGCCCAGTTAGATCGCCTATAAGGCTGCACAATCCGGTCTTTTGGTGGACAGAAGGATTTTATTACGCGACTTACTTTCCATTTTCGACTTACAAACGTTTGTACGAGCAATTAAGGAACTATTTCCGAAAATATGAAATATATCCAGCCGAGGTGAGGTGGATTAACTGAGAATCTATGGGATCTTAATATATTTCATATAAATTAATTTCATTCCAATCAAAATAAATGAATAACAATTGGATATTATGCAATATCGGTTTTTATAAGCAATTTAATTCGCTAGTAAAAACCAATATTTTCAAATAAATAATTTTCAAATACTTATAAGCCTAATTTAAAATACAAGGAAGCAGTTGGTCTTGTTAATATGTATAGAACTGAGACCTTGATGTCACTATGGCGGCGTATAAGTCAAGAAATCTTTTATAATTAATAAAATAAAGGGTTTTAGAGATAGTAAAATAATAAAAACATAAACCTCATGCCATGAACACATTTTTAGTATTCGAGAAAAAGGATAAGGAAGCAACTTAAGTAGTGGCCAATGACTTGACTAAGTCGTAGCTCAAAAGATGGTTGTAATTATTCCATTTTAGATTAAGGACTTTCGATTTCATTGGGGGTCAAACTTAATTCGGCAGGTCGTCCTTTTATCAGGACAGCTTTTGCGAATTAATGCCCCCTATATTATACCTCCTAAGTGCTGGGAAAGTAAATAAGCACATGTGGGCATCCACCCCGAAAAATCGGGCTTCATAAAACGGAGTCTGCGCACAATAAAATGCATCCGTCGATGTTGTCGATGGTGATTGATTTTCGACGTGGCACGGAGTGTATCCGTATCTGTATCTGTGGCCAAGTGACTGGTACTGTTTCACTTTGCAGGGCGCACTGCGCAGATACAGATACAGATACGGATATTTGGGGCGGGGGCGTCAACGGTCGGTGGTTGATTTCTGTCGCCGGCGAATTTATGTATCTGGAACGGAACGGAGCTGCAACCCCAATAAGACCAAGAGCCGAAATATCGAGGAATATCGAAGAATATTGCGGTGGTGGGGTGTGCGTGTGCCTTTTCTGAGGGTGCGGGTGCGGTTCGAAAAAAGATATATGCCCGTCATATATCTAGGCACTTCCCCACGCCGCCTTATTTATTTGTTTATCTACTATTTATGATCCCAAGAGCCGAAGCCGAAGTCGAAGTTTTTCCTAGACCCCGTCCCGCGTTCGTCACGGTCGCCGTTGTTGTTGCCGATTTTCCTATAGGTATACTGGTATACGTATAGCCTTATTGGCATCGCTCTGGGTCTGGGTGACTCTTGGCGTCGGCGTCGTATATCCGAGTATATCTGTGCGTGAGTGTGAGTGGGCCATGCGATTGCGATTCCTGGAAACTAACAGCGATTCACAGACAGCGGAGAACTCGCACACCATTCAGTTCAGTCGATGACGCTCCGCACCTCGGACTCCAAAGCCAAAGACAGCTAACTGGCTCTAACACTTGGCCACCGCCGGCGCGCTCTTTCTCGAAAGTGTTAAAATAATAAACCAACAACAATAATAACAAGCGTTTACAACGGGAACTATAACACTGTAATCGACAGACTATTGGGCCACAAAACAAAGATTTAATGTGCAATTTTCATAAACATTCCGCGCCAGCCCCATTGACTGTGTGCTTTAAATTATAGCCATCATCAAATCGGAGACACATTAGGCAGACCGGTGGCAAATATCTCGCCATTATCAATTATTGCACCTAATCGTCAATTATAACATTAATCGCGTTCGCGAAATACCATTGCATTCGGAGCCGACGGCAAGTGACTTTTGCAAAGTTCGGGTATTGAGTGCTTGTAACAAATGATAATATACTAAAGGCAGAGCGAGGCGATCTGGGTAAGTTGGGATTTATTCATAGAATAGGTAGATAAAATAAAATAATAAGCTTTGACAGAAATTGAAATTACAGATTGAAATAAAGCAGACAATCTGAAACATTGCTTTAGAAAAACCTATTCTTAAAATCAAAGCAAATGTACTACGATGTGACACCAACGGATTTTGGGTTCGTTTTCAAACCAACCGTCCCCAAAGCACTCGTAGATTTTTGGATACTTTTCAAACCAACCGTCTCCAAAGCACTCGTAGATTTTTGGTCAGTTTTCAAACCAACCGTCCCCGAAGCACTCGTAGATTTTTGTGACAGGTAGTCAACAAACTTTAATAAGATATTAAGGGTGTATTTATTAACAAACACCTTCCTTAGATACTGTGAGCATAAGCGGAAGAAACAAAGAGACGACCTGCCGAATTAGGTTTGACCTCCAAAGAAAGCGAAAGTTCTTAATCTAAAATGGAATATTCAGTGATACTTGATTATTTTTAGAAAATGGCTTTAAAAAAATTATTTAGTGCCGTTTTCTCGTCCGTTTGTTAAATTTAAAGTAGGGTTAACCCTAGAAATCGTATGGGAAATCAGAGTTTTAATCCTACTTTAAATTTAACAGGTGGACGAAAGAACGGCTCTTAATCAGTCAAAAATCACGGAAAACAGGATGTTTAAGAAACATATTCAGATTTCAAATAATTCCGAATTCGAATAATGACAAAAAAAAACTCACAAAAAAAAAAGAAAAAAACAGCAGCTAATATATTGTTGTCCATCAGGTGCCGTTGGTGCCGTTCTTAAGCAATTAAATTGTCTTTGTGTCAAACGATTAATTATTTCTTTCTTTCTTAAGGCCTTTTTTATCATCTTTAATAGTTTTATGAATATCCGTCCATTTAGGACGAACTCGAATCAACATTCATACTTGCTTATTTAATTCAAAGGTGCCTTGTCTTGTTGACGGTGTTGCTTTTGGACGTATAAATTGATGATTAAAACTGTAGTAAACTTATTTATATTTCTAAAACAATACTTGTTTATTAGATTTCAATGAATTTATAATGTTTTGGTGAAAAACTTTTAAGCGATGACGATTTAAGACCAACCAAAATGGCCTTTGAAAAATGTTTTTTCTTTAAGGCCTAGGACTCACTTCAATCGAAAAGCCTACGAAATGAAAATCTCCATACAAAATTTTGATCACGAAATTTGTCATTTTTGTATAGAAATTTTCGTTTCGTTGCCTTTTTGATTGAAGTGAGTACTAGGCTTAA